ACTGAACAATCTGGGGAAACAATGAAGAGGGCTAATAATATAGATAGAAGAAAATACAATATTTCCTTGCTCTGTTCATCACTTGGAAATGATTTGAAAAGGTAAAAATTTCACAGGAAAGCGAATCATTTTTTAAACGATATATATATATATATATATATATATATATATATATATATATATATTAGGCTTGGATAATATGTTATACCGCGGGATCTAAAAACAGCAACGGTGTCAGTTTTAATACCGTCATAAAAAACAATGCACTTAAATAAGAGACAAGTATTAAATAATACATATTATTTATTTAATGCCTACAAATGCGTATGCGTGATTGTCATCACGGGACAGTGTGGAGGAGAGAGAGAGAGAGAGAGAGGTGAGGTGGCGAGTCGTGCACCAAGTGACCTGCAGTTTGCCAGTATTTCTGGTTCCAACCCGAACAAGAAGGGAGACGTGGTATATAAGAACGAGAGGTCTGCATTCCCTCTTAATAAATTTATTCAGATCAACATCTATTCACAATCTGGATCGTTAACTGTTTGTTTTATAACACTAGTAATTGTAACGTCATCTTACAGTATTTGTAAGAATTAGGGTTGTAACAATATACCGGTATGACGGTTTACCACGATTTGAACGTGCACGATTATCATACCATGAACAATTGCATATCAACAGTTTTAACCCTTAAAGACCGAGACAGCCGCCCGCGGCTAAAAATAAGTATTGCTCTTAAATGTTTAATAACTTTTGATCCGCTGATCCGATTCATACAATTCAAAGAGTGGCATAAAGAAGAGAATCTCAGCTTTCCAGTGCTGTATCACATAACAGACTTTCAGAGGCTCCGGAATCAGTGCGGTTACGTCATCAACATTTGACAACGCTGATTTGACAAAGAAACGCTCGTCACTGTGTCTCTGGACAAACCAGACATGATACATTGATGCATAGTCCCTCCTCCATGCCCAGATTGGTTCAAACTCGCTATATCACAACCAATAAGCATAGGTTTCACTTTTGTTTGTGGACCAACAATGAGCTTTTTGAACAACACGGAATGAGAGAAAGGCATAAATTTATGCGCGGCTAAATAAAACGCAAAAAAAAAAGTTTTTCATGAAATAATTCTCATACTAAGTACTTTTGCATGCACAGCAGCACAGAAACATGACAAAACAGTGACACAGCAAAGACGAACTGCTGCTCTTGCTGTTTTCAAAAGACACAAATGAAGATGCAGCTGTTTGTCTGCATTGCAGACAACCATATCCATAGACAACCATATCCATGCTGGCACATAAAACCTAAGGATGTTTTATATTGAATCTAGTTTCGTTATGTAACTATTTATAGTATAGTAAATATTTATATCTATTTTTTACTGAGGATTTGCACCATGTTTATTTTACTTTATTTGGACTTTGACACATTATTTATTATTTTCTTATTTTTTTATTTGTTCATTGTAAGTGGTGTTGTTTATAGTAACTAAAAATATATTATTTGGAAAAAGTCAAATTTGCTTCACTGTTCTATTATTTTGTAACATTTGTAACATACCGTATACCGCGAAACCGTCAAACCGTGGTATTGTTTTAGACGATTATCATACCGTGAAAAATTCATACCGTTACAACCCTAGTAAGAATGGACACACGTCTGACCTTAGTGACCCCTGAGGTCTGTCATGAAACGGTGATGTTGAGATCCAGTGTTTCCATCATATCACAGACTCTCTTGTGTGCGGATGAGGCTTTTTCCTGTGATAAAGGATAAATGCAGGCACAAGTTAAGCATATTTCAGCCAATCAGAGATCCAGAGCAGATGCAGATGGGCAGATTTTGATTAAAAATGACCAAAACGAATGGATTTTTTTAATTTATTTTTCACTTATTTGATTTAAGATAGCAAAATATCACTGTAAGTTTTGGTTTCATGTGAACTCTAAGGTTATATTTCAGAAGAATGAAGTGTTTTACAGTGTTTCCTGATGAAGGTTTGGACATTGACTTAACTCTAAAAAAAAACAAAGCATTGGGTAAAATATAGACAAACACAACCATTAAATTAAAAACGATCATTTAAGTTGAATTGGTTAAATTAACCCGACAAACAACCCAGCATTTGTAGAGTGTATAATGTACTATTTATTTCTCGAATGCTACTAAAACAAACATTCATGCTACATTTTACAACAAAGTAATATAAACAGGGTGTTTCAAATACACTGAAAGTAAAACTCAGAATGTTATCTCCTGAAAATTACACTTTAAACAATGAGTGTTTATAACCCAACGTTGGGTCAAATGTAAATAAGCTTAAATTTTGTAGATACGTTTAAATTTAATTGAAAAACATTACATTAACGTTGGGGTTTGTCAATATTAGACCCAACACTGGGTTAAAACAATGGCTGAAATAAATAAAAAATATAAAAATCATGACCAGCTCATTCTGTTCGCGTTTAATTTTACTAAAGAGAAGTTTACAAAGCAAATCAGGAACTATCAGAATCACATTAAGACATTAGACACAGCTAGCTGGCTAACACATTACACAAAACAGCTACACGACTCGTCATATTCAATATTCACCCGTATTCAGTGCTAATAATGCTAAGAGAACTGTATTGTGATGATGATGATGATGATGAATGAACGCGTGAGGTCACGCAGCCCGTGATTTGCAGTGATGGTGACCTTATACAGCAGATGCTAAAACACTAATGCTAAGTCAAACTACACTGCCGGCGCTTCATAACAGCCTCGTGTTGCTAACAGATGGTTGTTGTTCATTATGAGTACACAGAATAAGATGAAGAGCAAACCGTCTCCGCTGCTCGTCTTCTTCATCCTCACCCTCAGCATCCGCTCTCAGCATCAGGAAGAAGAAGAAACATCCGACGCTTTCCATTGGAGCTTTCTCCAGTGGCGTCACCGCCCGCCCTCATCATCCAGGATGCTGGAAAATGTATGTAAACTCCGCGTACTGGAAATTTAACATTCATGACTGTAAATTTACTATTAAGAAACCTTATTTTAAGGTATTGGTGACTGAAATATGCTTGTGTATTATCAGTATCAGAGACTCTCAATACAAAAAAGCCAGGCGCACTGAAAAAGAACACTATAATGTATTTATTTAATTATAACATGTGTACATTTTGTTTGTATATATGTGTTATATTTATACTTACCCCCTGGCATGTATATATTGTATTGTGAACTGTTATATGCTGTTCTTAAAAAAATAAACAAATAAATAAACGCCACTGACTGACTGTAAAATAATGTTATTGATATAAGCATTACTTTTGAATTAGCAGATGCATTTTGCCACACCTATATAACAGTTCAATAACTTATTTATGTCTTCAGATATTTATGCTTTATTTGTTTTAATGTAATATTCCGTGATTTATTTGTTTAAGTATTTACTGCTCTGATTTTTTAAATCGGTTGTTATATTTGTGTAATTGTGCTGCATTATGATCATGAGCTCATTTGTATATTATAAGTCACAAAATATTAACTACAAATGACATGTTTTACAGTGTGTATCCCCTGTTACTAAGGTTACAAAATAAACTAAATAACTATAATAATAGCTAAATAACTAAATAAATAAATACACAAATAAACAAACCTAAGAAAACAAATAAGTAAATAAATCAAATGAGAGGGAGAATTTTATTACTGAACTTTCTGATAGCAGAAAAAATGTGTTAAAGGAAATCTTTCAATTAAACAGCATTTTCTCATCTCTAAGTGGCATCTTTACGCAAGGTTCTATGTTCAGTTATTTCATGATAAAGGCCATGAAAATTATACTAGATTATATTATTCGCCTCCCTTTGAATTTCTTTTTCTTGTTTAAATATTTCCCAAATGATGTTGAACAGATTCAGGAAATGTTCACAGTATGTCTGATAATATTTTTTCTTCTGGAGAAAGTCTTATTTGTTTTATTTCGGCTTGAATAAAAGCAGTTTTCAATTTTTTAAACACCATTTTAAGGACAAGCTCCTTTAAACTATATTTTTCCAATACTGGGTTGCGGCAGGAAGGACATCCGCTGTAAAACATATGCTGGAATAGTTGGCGATTCATTCCGCTGTGGTGATCCCTGATAAATAAAGGACTAAGCTGAAGGAAAATGAATGATTGACATAAAACAAACACATATGCAAACATGTGTTTGTTAAACCTGCACCACTGTGACATTTAGGATAAAAACACACACACCTGATGATTTTGATGCTTGTGTAAAACTTTATTGTAATCTTTGCATTTGTCGCAGAAAGGATCAAACTGTTCAGGCAACTGACCATCAGCATGGCTACTTCCTGATTTCCTGGTAAAGTGTCAGCTCATAATTTCATTAATAATATATAATTTGTTATTTAAATATGTAAAATGTGACACTGCAGAAATGAGGGCTAGTGTCAAAGTTTCTTTTGTCTCTCTTTGTATGTATTCAAAATATTTAAATGTCATACAAGAATATAGAGTTTGCAGTATTGACAGGATTGGCAAAGCACTTACACGGTGTCATTATGGTTGCTGAATTTCTTGCATCTGTTTAGCTGTTGTCCCGTCAATGCAGTTCAATTTAAACATGTCTTACATCTCATTTACTCAGTTACAGATTCTGGTTGGTGTTTAAGGGCACCTATTATGTATAAATGACTTTCATAAGAGGTTTAACCCCAGTTGTGTGTCAGAAGTGTGTGAATATATCCAGCCTATAATGGTTAACATGAGTTAATTGTATTTATTATAATCAGACTTGATAAAAACAGTCTGCAGAATATGATGTCATCAGAGTGGGAAAGCCCCGCCCACTAGTGTCCATCTCTCCCTCATTAGCATAGAGCTTTAGTCTTGTTTTTGAGTTTGTCACTATGCTGACACACAGGCATTTGTAGCTCCGCCCTCTTCTGAAAAGATCACAATCTCATTTGCATTTAAAGCGACAGTCACCAAAACACTACAATTAGTATCAAAGCCTAAAAGGGTGAGTTTCAGAGAGCTGGAGAACATTATCTGTGTGTTATTTTGAGCTCAGACTGAACACACACACACTAGACACATCAGAGACTAATTTGACATCTTGTATAAACAGGCATAAGAGGTCCCCTAGCACCAAGACACTGCACACAAACAAGTGACATTTACCGGACGCATCCGCCATGCATACGGTCAGTCCTGAACACACTGATCCTTCCTAAACAACCTTGAACTTCAGATTGTAAGTCACATAGTAGCCATTATTGAACATGTAGAGCTTCTGATCGGCGGGATTGTAGTCCAGGTACACATAGAAGTCCTGGAACTTCTCGAAACGAATGCTAACGTGGCTTTCCTGGTTTTTAGTCGTGTCATAAGTGTAGAAGATCTCCTCGGTGTGGGTGTCTACAGAGCGGGTGGCGTACAGAACGCCGCATATCATGAAGGCATTGGTGACCGACTGCTTGAATATGCTGGTCTGCCAAACCTCCTCCACTGTAAATGACTGTTCGTTGATCTTCCCTAGGACTAGTGTACCGTTTGACTCCGCCGTGGCGTATGTCACCCACAGGCCGGACTCATCAGCGGCGAAGTCCAGGTTCTGGTTGGCGGAGTAATGGTAGGAGAATTGTGTGCTGGCTTTGGGAACCACCTTGGTCTCCACTTTTGCACTGGTCATGTTGAACTTCGCCATCGCGAAAGGGCTTCTGTACTGATAATACAGGTTGTTTTCCCTCACTACATAGTTGTTTCCAGCGCCGCGCCAGTCGTACTGGCGATCCACATACAGCAGATGAGCTTTAAAGCTCTGCCTGGTGATCAGTGTGTAGTAGGCCGAGTACTGGGAGATTTTGCTGACCAGCGTGTCTGAGCTGCCCGAGTACCAGTACATGCTCTCTGAGCCAGACAAGGGCTTGGAGTCTTTTCCCCATCCGCCATACTTGAAGGCTCCGTTCAGGTCTGCGTTCAGCTGGCTCACCACAGGCTTTCCAATCTTGAGAATGCCAGCATGCTTACAGGACCCTACAAGAAAGCAGGAGAAAGCAATGAAATCTGAAGAGACGTGCAAACCAATGGAGTAGATTTTCTTTTACAACCCAGGCTCATTCTGAAAACATACCTCTATATAGATTTCCGGAGAGCACCAAATACACCCAGGAGCTATGCTATTTTGCAGTTTTTGTTTTTGTGAATCCACTAGAGGCCGCTGTGTACGCTTTTTCAGTTTTGAAATTTCTCTCCCAGATGACATTCACACCAGCTGTTCTCACGTAAATCTACCAGAGGCCGCTACCAACCAACCAACCAACCAACCAACCCTCCTCCTTCACTAAACCCAACCAATAGTGTTTTCAAAAGCAGAGATTGACCATTGCCCACCCCCTTTTTGTCTTACCCGCTTTCCCAAACTTTTCTTTGTCAGACTTGAACCCCGTCATTGTGGTCAACTCCTCTCTGCATCTCAGGTCCACCAACATACGCTGTGAGCCACTGGGCAAATTGGTAACAGTGAAAAAGTCGTCCATACGGAGGTGAGCGGTCAGCTGGTAGTGTGAAAAGGTATGGCATCAGAAGGTATGGCATCGTAATGTTCATTTTAAAGACAAAACGCAGCCATACGGACCTCTGGCTACATTATTCGTGATCTCCAGATATGTACATAGTGCTGCGTTTTCAGAATGAGCCTGTGTTGTGCTTTTGATATTGGTGGAGAGCTAATTTACACCCAAATGTAAAGTTAAAGGAATGTCTGACGAAAAGGTAGTACAAGGGACCAATCACAGCGAGAGCACCACACTTTCCTTGTTCTGACAGGAAAAAAAGTAAATTGCTCAGCTCTTTTTATGTTGCTAGGCAACCGCTGAATCAGCTGTGTATTGTGCTGTTGATATTGTTCTAATTGAAATCATGTCATGTCACTGCCATATTCATCCGCTTATCAGGGGCCGGATCGCAGGGCAGCAGTCTTAGAAGAAAACCCCAGACTAGAGGTCTGCATTCCCGCGGGACCCGACCAGATTTCTACGGCGCGGGAATAAATTTCCGAATAAATCGCGGGAGCGGTCGGTAACGAGTTTAATTTGGGACGGGAGCGGGCTGTCTAGCAATATCGCAGATATTGCTATGCGAATGAGAGAGAGAGAGAGAGCTTTGCCTGTGTGTGTGCTTGGTGCTTGTGTGTGTGTATGTTAGTGAGCGCGCGCGCGAATGAAAGAGAGAGAGAGAGCTTTGCCTGTTTGTCTGTTTGGTGCTTGTGTGTGTGTTAGTGCGCGTGCGTATGAGAGAGAGAGAGCTTTGTCTGTGTGTGTGTGCTTGGTGCTTTATACAGACAGCTTGGCTGTCTGGCCTGTATAGCTGGGTGATTTTCGGTTGTGTTCTCCCCCGCTCTTTAGCGGGAACGGGTGTGGCGGGCAGAAAACGGGGCGGGTCGGGCAGCGGGACAACAAATTCTTAATTTTTATCGGGAGCGGTCGGGTTCGGGCTAAAACCTGGCGGGTGTGGGCGGGAGCGGGATTCAAAACGTAGTCCCGCGCAGATCTCTACCCCAGACTTCCCTCTCCCCATACTCTTCCTCTAGCTCTTCCGGGGGGATCCAGAGGCGTTCCAAGGCCATCCGAGAGAGATAGTCCCTCCAGCGTGTACTGGGTCTTCCCCGAGGCCTCCTCATGTCTGGAACACCTCCCTAGCTAATCGTCCAGGAGGCACTTGAAGCAGATGCCCGAGCCACCTCAGCAGACTTTTTTCAATGTGGAGGAGCAGCAGCTCCTCTCCGAGATCGTCCAGGGTGTCAGAGCTCCTTACTAAGTCTATATGGGTACACCCTGCGAAGGAAACTCATTTCGAAAGCTTTGCCTTTCGGCCTAGCACCTTCTTTACCATAACGGTCCAATACATTGACTGCATTACTGCTATTAAAACTATTATGATTGGAAAATATTCCTTTCGTTAAACAGAAATTGGGGGAGAAAATGCAGGATAGGCTAATAATTCTGACTTCAACTGTATATATTTTAATGTTGTCAGTATTTGCGTGAGTGTGTGTGAGCGTATACCGATGGGAGCGTTGGTGATGTCCTGCTGGTCCTCCTGGCATTTCTTCAGTTTGCGCTGTAGTTTGGTGAACTCATGGCGAATCACCTCCAGATTACTGCGGTCGTAACTCTCCAGCTGGTCAACGATGATCCTCATGCTGTGAATCTGTCACAGAAAAACACGCAGATATGAATTATTCGCCCGTCTGTATAATTTTTTTCCAATTTCTGTTTAACGGAAAGAAGATTTTCACACATTTCTGCACAAAATACTGCAATAACTCATTTCAAATAACTGGTTTCTTTTCTCTGTCATGATGACAGCACATAATATTAGACTACATGTTCTTCAAGACACTAGTGTTCAGCTTACAGTGACATGTAAAGGCTTCACTAGGGTAATTAGGGTAAAGTTAGGGTAATTAGGCAAGTCATTGTATAACAGTGGTTTGTTCTGGAGACAATCCAACACTAATATTGCTGAAGGGGCCAATAATATTGAGCTTAAAATGGCTTTAAAACTATTAAACACTGCTTTTATTCTAGCCCAAATAAAGCAAATCAGACTTTCTCCAGAAGAACAAATATTAGAGGAAACACTGTGAACATTTCCTGAATCTGAGAAACATCACTTGGGAAGTACTTGAGGGTAAAAATGGGGTAAGCAAAACAATCTTGTTTTCCTTTGACATGAGATTATTTTGCTTACACCCTTTGCAGATTATTTAGTTCATTTAGTTAGTTTTGGTTTACTAAATTGTGCTAAAACGCCTGACCTCAGCGTAGAGACTGTCGAAGGCGCTGGAGGAGGAGTTCAGTGATGTTTTGATCTGCGTGACCAGAGCCTCGAACTCCCTCAGCTCCATCCGCAGCAGCTCGAACTCCAGCTTGATGTATTTGTCCGGTCCGCTCTCCAGAACCTCCAGCCGGGCCGTCAGGTTGGAGAGACTCCCCAGGAGAACCACCAGCTCAACCTTCAGGCTGCTGAGCTGAAGACACACACAGAGAATGAGTTCAGTCCAGCAGAGGAGCACCAGGATGACCAGCATAACCAGGTAATGCATGCAGAATGATAGCAACAAGCTCTGATTTAGTAGACTTTTGAATGCGAGATGGAGAATTGCTGTTGTTGTTACTATAGGACTTTAGTATTATTAAGTAGACAGTAAAAATATCCATGAATTAACAGCTTACCTTCCAATATCTAGTTAACAGATCTTATCTCATTCCTCTCTGTAGAAAAAAGTGAAGTACATCTGGGACTCTACTGGTAAATTCTATAAAACTTGGCCCCGCCCATTCTGAATTTATTCGATGACAGAAATGATTTATTATTTGACTAAACTACAGCATTGTAAAATCACCACGACAGATCAATTACTAAAGTTGACCTGTTACCATAGCAACTGTAGAATCACCACGACAGATCAATTACTATAGTTGACCTGTTACCATAGCAACTGTGGAATCACCACGACTGATCAATTACTATAGTTGACCTGTTACCATAGCAACTGTGGAATCACCACGACTGATCAATTACTATAGTTGTTGTGTTACCATAGCAACTGTAGAATCACCACAACAGATCAATTACTATAGTTGTTGTTTTACCATAGCAACTGTAGAATCACCACGACTGATCAATTACTATACTTGTTGTTTTACCATAGCAACTGTAGAATCACCACAACAGATCTATTACTATAGTTGGTGTGTTACCATAGCAACTGTAGAATTACCACAACAGATCAATTACTATAGTTGTTGTATTACCATAGCAACTGTAGAATCACCACAACAGTCTAAGTGAAGTGCTTTCCCTCAGTGTTTACTGTAAATGACTATAGTACCAGCTGGTTGATGAACAATGCACTGTGGACTCTTTGCCGTGTACCTTGCTGATGTGGATCTGGACCTCCACCGCCAGCTGTTTGGAGGAGCTCTGCATCTGCTCCATCCGGTCCGCTGGGAATGAAGTGTCAGGCAGGAACACATTACAGACACACTGGCCCAAGTCCCCGATGGAGCCGTCCACACTGCCCGAGCCCCAGTCCTCCAAAGACTGCTCAACACACACACACACACACACACACACACACACACACACACACACACACACACACACACACACACGCCAGATATTCTTCAAGACACTAGTATTCAGCTTAAAGTGTCATGTAAAGGCTTCACTAGGGTAATTAGGGTAAAGTTAGGGTAATTAGGCAAGTCATTGTATAACAGTGGTTTGTTCTGGAGACAATCCAACACTAATATTGCTGAAGGGGCGAATAATATTGAGCTTAACATGACTTTAACACTATTAAACACTGCTTTTATTCTAGCCAAAATAAAACAAATCAGACTTTCTCCAGAAGAACAAACATTACAGGAAATACTGTGAACATTTCCTGAATCTGAGAAACATCATTTGGGAAATATTTGAGAAAGAATTAATTAAAGAAACTCTCAGGAGGGAGAATAATTCTGCTGTATAATAAATATATATATATATATAAAAAACTTTTTTTGAATGCGATTAATCTTTGCCCTGCACTATATATATATATATATATATATATATATATATATATATATATATATATATATATATGCCTATTTTCATAGATCAAGTTTCTATAAGAGGGTTAAAAATAAGTCAAATAAGTCAGACATGAAAAAAATGGGAGAAACTCTTACCAGCCAGGCCTGAGCCGGAGCCGCGAGCATGAAGACGGACAGCAGGAGGATCTTCATCATCATCATCATGAGTCCACAATATGAGCTTCTCCTCAGAGCTTCAGCTTTATATATGCAGCCTGATATCAGCAGTAATCTACAGCACATGTCTGCTTCTCACACTGATGATGATGATGATGAAGAGCGGCCTGTTTGCTCAGGATGTCCTGCGTGTTTTATTAGCGGATGTTTTAAGGTTGGATTGTTCATCAGCCTTGAGAGAACAGATTGTTTGGAAAAGCTGGAGAGAGTTTGCAGAGTATTATCATGCCGACATAATGACTGTCCCAGTCCATCAGGGGTGTAATAGTTAAACCATAAAGCACAACAAGCATCCCTGCTGAAGAAATACAACAGCACACACTGGAAAAAGCTGCCATATTTTCTAATTCTCAAGTGTTTTATGGTTATTTACAGTTGTGAATTGCATTATGGGATGTTGATCTCTGCTCTGTCTACTTCTTATGAGGTAAATTTGACTCTACAGTTTAACACAGACTTTTATTGACACTTTAGTGGTTTGAAATAATATAATAAATAATATGTAGAGAAATAAGTCAGTAAAATACTTAATAATAAAATAATATTAATAATAGTAATAATATCTTTTACAGTCTATGGTAAAATACCAGAAAATGTGCTGGAGTTTATTACAAGGTGTTTAGAGCGTAATATACAACACCAACCCAGACAATATAGCACTACAGACTCATACACATGTGCAGAAAACACACTTTTTACAATATTTCAAGGTTAAAAGATGTTGCAAGAAAGATTAAGCTCCCACAATGCAAAAAATAAGCAGGGAAAAATAAAACATGAACCGGATAGCTGCTCATTTAAAGATATTTTTTATGTGCACAAACATATTTGTATTTCTTTCAAAGGAAGCAGTTTTCATTTTTAAGACAGATTTATATCATTACAAAAAAGTAACTGAAAGAGAAATTAGTGGCAGTATTTAATCTAAATGGACAGAAGCAGGTATAAAATACGGTGTCAGTGCTTTGAAATGTTTTGTGCACTGTAAAAAAAACAAGTTGACTTTACTTAAAAATAATTGATTAAACCTGTTACTTATAAAACAATTAGTTGACTTTATAAAGTGAGTAAACCCGTTGCCTTAATATGTTTAAATAAATGATCAATATGCAAAGTTATAAAATTACAATTAATTAAATAAAGTTGGGGTGACGTGGTGGTGCAGTAGGTAGTGCTGTTGCCTAACACAAGAAGGTCGCTGGTTCGAGTCGCGGCTGGGTCAGTTGGTATTTCTGTGTGGAGTTTGCATGTTCTCCCCGTGTTGGCGTGGGTTTCCTCCGGGTGCTTTGGTTTCCCCCACAGTCCAAAGACATGCGCTATAGGGGAATTGGGTAGGCTAAATTGTCCGTAGTGTGTGTGTGAATGAGTGTGTGGGGATGTTTCCCAGAGATGGGTTGCAGCTGGAGGGCATCTGCTGTGTAAAACATATGCTGGAATTGTTGGCAGTTCATTCCGTTGTGGAGACCCCAGATAATTAAAGGGACTAAGCCAAAAAAAAAAGAATGAATGAATGCCTTTATGAATTAAACAACACTCCACAGTTTCTGCAGCACATATAAAAAGATACAGTGATGCTGAAAACACCCAACATGACCAAAATACTATAGTATTATGCTGTATATATTGTAGTATTTACAACTCTTTGATAATGAATGTTGCAGCATATTGTAATATTAATCATATTGTAGTTATCTGATAAATTGTAATACTGTAGTATACTTTAGTTTTTACTACAGTAAACTATGATGTAGTATAATAAACCCTATAGTTGTGAAAAACTACAGTATTGGGTCATTTGTTTATGTTACTATAGTTGTTGTGTTACCATAGCAACTGTAGAATCACCACAACAGATCAATTACTATAGTTGTTGTGTTACCATAGCAACTGTAGAATCACCACAACAGATCAATTACTATAGTTGTTGTGTTTCCATAGCAACCATAGAATCACCACAACAGATCATTATAGTTGTTGTGTTACCATAGCAACCATAGAATCACCACAACAGATCAATTACTATAGTTGTTGTGTTACCATAGCAACTGCAGAATCACCACAAGGATTGCCTCAGGCACTTTATAGTAAGGTACAACCACACTATAGTACTCACTATGTATTACTATAATATATTGTCATGGTAGATCAGCTGACATTCACTTTTAGGTCATACGGAATTGAATGAAAGATTGCCTTTGTAGTGTTATCTGTAATGCATTTTCAATATTGTATGGCTCACTATTTTAATTGATTACTAGATTAGATCAACAGAAAAATGCAATGAAAACAAAGTACTAGTGACCTCATGAAAAGAAATGAAATTGTATAAAATCACATTCAATATAAAGACAAAACTGCACACATGCATCATTCTGCGCATCAAACTTTATTACACAAACAGAAACACGTCACGTTCACTGCTGTTCTGTGTTCATCAGGTGAACAACATCATATTCAACATTCTCAAGTCGCTCAGTCGACGAGGCTTTTATCTGCTGAGGCCTCCTGGTTGAACCACACATGATAGCTGACGTAGTAACCGTTGTTGAACATGTACAGTTTCTGATCGGTGGGGTTGTAGTCTAAGTAAGAGTAGAAGTCATGGAACTTCTCAAAGGGGATGCTAACATAGCTTTCCTTTTCGGTGCGGGTGTCAAAGGTGTAAAAGATCTCCTCGGTTTTAGTGTCTACAGACCTTGTGGCATATAAAACCCCACACACCATGAAAGTGTTGCCGACAGAGGGTTTATAAACACTGGTCTGAAAGACCGTCTCGACTGCGAATGACTGTTCATTGATCTTCCCTAGGACTAGTTTACCCTTCGAGTCCGCCGTGGCGTACGTCACCCACAGGCCGGACTCATCAGCGGCGAAGTCCAGGTTCTGGTTGGCGGAGTAATGGTAGGAGAATTGGGCGCTGGCTTTGGGAACCACCTTGGTCTCCACTTTTGCACTGGTCATGTTGAACTTCGCCATCGCGAAAGGGCTTCTGTACTGATAATACAGGTTGTTTTCCCTCACTACATAGTTGTTTCCAGCGCCGCGCCAGTCGTACTGGCGATCCACATACAGCAGATGAGCTTTAAAGCTCTGCCTGGTGATCAGTGTGTAGTAGGCCGAGTACTGGGAGATTTTGCTGACCAGCGTGTCTGAGCTGCCCGAGTACCAGTACATGCTCTCTGAGCCGGACAAGGGCTTGGAGTCCTTTCCCCATCCACCATACTTGAAGGCTCCGTTCAGGTCTGCATTCAGCTGGCTCACGATAGGCTTGCTGATTCGTCTGATTCCTCTATGATTGCAGATTCCTGATGGTACAAGTAAAAGAGTTGATCAGTTCAAGAGGTTAACCTGGTTTGCACTGTGCAATTACGGCTCTCATGTCACACTGTAAGATCTCAGTTGTCATGATGTCAGATTGGACAACAATCAAGATGTGCCAAACATAGGCATGTCTTAAACCAGGGATCACCAAACTTGTGCCTGGAGGGCCGGTGTCCTGCAGATTTTAGCTCCAACTCTAATCAAACACACCTGAACCAGCTAATCAAGGTCTTACTAGATATACTTGAAACACTCAGGCAGTTGTGTTGAGGCAAGTTGGAGCTAAACCCTGCAAGGACACCGGCCCTCCAGGACCGAGATTGGTGACCCCTGTCTTAAATGTTAGGGTTATTCTGGCATGATTCCTAACAGTACAACATAAACAACTGTAGCGGACATTTTGTTCATTAATAAAACCAGAAAAAAAGCTGTGTTGACATTTCCCCATGCTGGTTGTCATGCTGTGCTCATGTTGGCTCTTGGTTTGCTGTCCTTCAGCTGAATCACACCTAGGGCCGGCGCGTCCATAGAGGCGACCTAGGCAACCTCTTAGGGCAGCAGAATAGAGAGGGTGGCGTCCGCGACACCACCTTCAACACCCGCGCCCTCAATTATGTCCACGACCCAGCAGCCCATAAAACCCTTCCCCCCTCCCCCCACTTCAATTTGATAACCGGTCATTTCCGTTTTCCCTTTCGGGTTTCGGGCGGTAATAGATAGATGTATATATCTATGGAGGGCGGCATGATCGTCCTTTGCTTAGAGCGGCAGTTCAGCTTGCTCCGGCCCTAATCCCACCAGATCCACAACAAGATTCCAGCAACAATCAATTGGTCTGTCTGCACCAAACACGACACAACACTGCAACTGCACTCCTGAAGAAATGTTCTTTAACATTTTTAATAGGCTACTGAGTGACTGATTGTATTGGTCTGCACTGAGTTTCAGTTCAGGCGTTCATTCTCAAACCATCTGCTAGTTATTTGAGAAAGATATGAGGTGAACTATCTGCTGATGCTTTCAGTACAGCAATTAATGTCAGGTAAATGTATTTGAACTCACATTTAACACTGAATAAAGCACAGAAATCTGTCGCTGAGGTGATCTTTGTCATAGTAGTTTATGCTGTTGTTACGCTGCAAAGTTGCAGAAATAGTTTCTAAAATAGTAATTTCGCACATAGCCATTGCAGATAGCTAGAAGTGTAGTTCGGACATGGTGCCACACTCCAGGAAAGAAATCTTCTGAATCTTCCAGAACTTATTCAGAGCAAAAATCTGATCGCAACAGTCATTAAGCGGCTGTCGGTCAACATGTCAAACCAATAATCAAAAGACCACAGATTTTAGCCTAGGATTTCAGGAATCTTTTGGGATTTTTCGAATTTGTCTTAGATTACCAAATCGTGGCTGAAATCGTGTAAGCAGGGCTTTATAATTTCAATGCCTACATCAGGGCTAAGCAACTTTAGACCTGGAGGGCCACTGTCCAGCAGAGTTTAGCTCCAACACTAATTAAACACACCTGAACAAGCTAATGTAACGGAGGCCAGCTAGAGTAGAGCAACTGACTCCCATGCAGGAGGTTGCCGGTTCGATCCCAGCTCGGAGTGGGTTGGGTGGTGTAGGACCGGCGGAGTTACATTGATGGTGTGACCCAGAAGGGAGTGAGGTTTAGGGGGGTGCACGTAACGGAGGCCAGCTCACCTCACTCCTCTGACCTCTAAAGGTCAGAAATGGCCATGGTTTTTAGCCTTCTTGGTAGAGCAACCGACTCCCATGCGGAAGGTCGCCGGTTCAATCCCAGCTCAGAGCGGGTTGAGTGGTGTAGGACCGGCGGGGTTACACTAAGCATTGTCTTCAAGATCACCAGAAAGATACAGGCAGGTGTGTTTGATTAGGATTGGAGCTAAACTCTGCAGGACATCAGCCCTGCAGGAATGAAGTTGCCTATGCCTGGCCTAGATGGACAATTAGGGCATACTCACTCTAGGCATGATTGCCTTGAATCGTGCCCGAGCGTGATTGTCCCCCTTCCCCTATCCCCCCTCAGCCTGCACACACTTTGCATTTTACCCTCCGAGCCGGAGCACACTTACGTCATCGATGATACGACTGTTCAGTTTAACAGGAAGAGAAGCGCTCAGCACAGTAGAGATTGGCTGCGTCCGAAACCGCATACTTCCATACTATATAGTACGCTAAAATCAGTATGCGAGCCGAGTAGTATGTCCGAATTCATAGAAGTCGAAAATCAGGATGCGAGAAGTACCCGGAGGACTTACTACTTCCGGCGAGATTCTGGAGTACGCATGCCATGCACGCTGCGCTATCCCATGATGCCCCAGCGAATTCATGAATGGGAGTGAAGCGACGCAAATGACTCAGGTAGGTCGCGGGACCATGACAAAATGGCGGATGTAGTACATCCGAATTCCATTCATACTTTTCACATTCATACTGTATAGAACGTACTTTCTAACAGCCGAGTGGTACGTTTACGTTCAAATGCAGTACCTACTGAGTAGTAGGCGGTTTTGGACGCAGCCCACTGCTTTAGTTATATCGTTTCTTACTATTTTAGTCATGTGGGATGCAGTGGCACACAGTCAAATATTTCGCCGAACAGATCCACAACTTTTGACGCTCATCAATTTTCATAAAAGTCCTCGTGCTGCAGGTTTGCTGTAGGTGGCAAGCTTGAAAGTGACATTGCATCTTCAGTTTCTGAGTCCAACTGAACAGCGATCTGGCACACCTCCTCCAACCAGTCCAGGGCCGGCCAACCGAACCACGCCCGGGCATGGTACAGAGCACTCACACTTGTCTAACGAGCCAGGAAATGGGGGTCAAACACACTTTGTGTGGCAGGGTTTGGATAGTCTAGTGTGAGTACACCCTTACTTACCAATGTTGGGGTTAAAGATTTCATCATGGCGTCTCTCACACTCCTCCAGTTTCTGCTGAAGAATTAAATATTCTCGGCGGGTCACGAGAACCAAGTTCTTGTCGTAGGTGATCTCCAGTTGAGTCAGCACAGAAATCATAGTGATGACCTGTTTTCATCAGAAAACACATAGATTGGACACAATGCTGATTCCCAAGCCAAAACAAGAAATCAATCAGGTGTATTCTTCACTAAGCTAACAGACATAGTAGGAAAGGGAAGAATCTCTCATTTTATTGGTGCACTGGTAAAAATAAGGCAGAAAGGTGCAACACTGCTGAACACTGCTAAGTTACATTCACTTTTAAAGGGTTTACAGGGGTCGAGACTTGAAATGAACCTCCAATTACTCCTGCATGTTTTATTGATGGCCCGCCCCCTACTCAATATTCAATTTCAATTGGAGTGACATTAACAGACTGAAAGAAAGTCTCAGCAATGTCTGGTTCACGCATATTTAAGTGAATACCAACAATAAGAAGCTTTCTGTTTGTAGGATAAGTTACAGTTCAATAAATGCGCAATTAGTTGTGGGATCTACTGTAGACAAGAGCTGCAGGTGTGCTTTGTCAACATTTGCATGTACATTTGTATGTAAAGGAGGATGTTCGGGAAGTGTCACCTGTGTACGTATGCTTATAAGCACACTGGAGGAGGCCTTTATAGACGCCTGCAGCTCCACAATCAGAGCCTCCACCTGCTTGATCTGGATCTTCACCTCCTCCAGATGGAGCTCATTGTAGGAGTCGGGATCGTCCTCCATCAGCTCGATGAGCACCGTCAGGTTCTTCATCTTTGCAATGTAGACCTGCAGCTTGACCTCGTACACCTCAACCTGCAGAAGAACCAGTAAATGTTGTGTCCATCTGTCAATTGTTATGTCCAACGGAAATGCCAAGCTTTGCAAACATTTTGAAAATGCACATAGAAAACGTCTGCACACAACTGAGAAGGATAAACAGTTTATTCGATTAAAAAAATTGCGGATAGACTAAGATGGAAACGCAGTGAATTGACCCCAGCATGCATACCAGAAAGTGCACGCCTCCGTTCACCACGTTCATTGCGTTTCACCTTTGTCTTCTGAGGCGCAACTTATTTATCAGAGAAGAACAAACACCATTGTGGAATGTTTTATGCAATATCCCAGTTTTACACGTAAGTTTAATTCACAAGCATAGCTAATGACTGTGATTGTTTCTGAGATTGTACCACACCTTACTAATCTCCATTTCCAGCTTGTATTTGATCTCCACGGCTGTGCTCTCCAGCAGGACGAGCTGTCCGATTGGGAATGTGCTGTTGGGCAGGAAAGCTTCACAGATGCACTCTCCACTGGAGGCACTGCCTTCAGCCCAGAGGCTCACTGCCTGCAGGACACAAGGGAAAACATCAACCTTTCTACTCATAATGTCTTCAAAGATGTCTCTCTGGAGATTAAAGGTGAAGGGATTAGGGCAGGGGTGTCACACTGGAGAGTAGCAACCCTATAGAGTTCACTCCAACACACTTAACTGTAGTAGTCACATGAATCAATTGAATATCTAAACCAGGGTGCTCACACTCGGTCCTGGAGGATTGTTTCAATCCCAATTTGACACAACTGAACCAGCTAATCAAGCTCTTTCTAGGTCAGTGGTGCCCAAATTTGGTCCTGGAGGTCCGGTGTCCTGCAGAGGTTAGTTCTAACCCCATTTAGACACACCTGAACCAGCTAATCAAGCTCTTTCTAGGTATACATGAAACTTCCAGGCAGGTGTATTGAAGAAAGTTGGAGCTCAACTATATGCAGGACACCCGCCCTTCAGGGCAAAATTTGGACACCCCTGCTAGGTATACTAGAGACTTCAAGGCAGGTGTATTGAAGAAGGTTAGAGCAAAATAATGAAAGGACGCCAGCCCTCCAGGACCAAGTTTGAACACCCCTGATCCAAACAATACAGAAAATAGTATATCAAAACATCTTCATTGTCTTCTGCTTTAAAACAGAGTGGATGTATTTCTGTGCTGTACTCACCCCCTGGACAACAGCAGCCCTGAAGAGGATTATAGGAAGAAGCGTCACAATCATCGTGGATCAGTTCGTTGTGTTGCAGAAGTGGAGATTTCAGGCTTTTTAAACAGCGTCTTATCTTATTCTGCATATTCAGCACCTGGGGTTTTCACACCATTATTCTCTGACAAATGAGGATGATCATATTTGTCTTTTGCGTAACACTGATAAGGTAAATTACTTTGTGGATTTAAGGCAGTGTGGGACTGCAGATGTGTTTTCACATGAAGACCATCACAGAAACATGCGGTTCAGATTACACAGAGCTAATGGTGTAAAAAAGAGCATAACCACAGTCAAATACTCTCACATGATTAAGAGATGGTGTAAGAAACGTGGTCTAACCTATATATGTTTTTATTATGGAAAGTAAAAAGTATAAGATTATAATAAGATTTACCAATTATATATATACATACAGTTGAGGTCAGAATAATTAGCCCGCTTTTTTTCTTTTTTAAATATTTCCCAAATGATGTTTAACAGAGCAAGGAAATGTTCACAGTATGTCTGATAATATTTTTTCTTCTGGGAAAAGTCTTATTTGTTTTATTTCGGCTAGAATAAAAGCAGTTTTGATTTTTTTAAAAACAATTTTTGGGACAAAATTATTAGCCACTTTAAACTATTTTTTTTTTCCGATAGTCTACAGAACAAACCATCGTTATAGAATAACTTGCCTAATTACCCTAACCTGCCTAGTTAACCTTATTAACCTAGTTAAGCCTTTAAATTTCACTTTAAGCTGTATAGAAGTGTCTTGAAAAATATCAAGTAAACTATTATTTACTGTCGTCATGGCTAAGATAGAATAGATCAGTTATTAGAAATAGGTTTTTAAAACTATTATGCTTAGAAATGTGCTGAAACAATCTTCCCTCCATTAAACAGAAATTGGGTAAAAAATAAACAGGGGCGCTAATAATTCAGGAGGGCTAATAATTCTGACTTCAACTATATATGGGGTAAATCTGCAACATTTTCATTGATCGTGGCTATAACACTAAAACAAATATATTAGATTATACTATATTGTGTATCCTAATGCATTAGTTTTGGTACCGTAATGTGATATTTTAGCATATCTTGTAATAAACTGGTGTTTCAGAAGCGTTAATGACGATTTAAAAAATAATTTTTAATGAAGCAAAATTGTAGGATTTTTACTATTCCCACTTTATCAATAGTCATCCCTCTGTAATCACTGAACTGTCTCTCTTTCGCAAATGATCCCACAAAAAGTAACGGTGTAAAGAAACATAATAGCAGTCAACCACTGTTACCTAATTAATGATTAAGAAACTTTTTTACTTTCTACAACATATTTTTAACCAGTGATATAGAAGAAAACTACAGCCACATTCCCATTTATATTGATCTTAGATTTATTCTTATATAATAATAATAATAATATGCAGGGGTTGGACAATGAAACTGAAACAAGCTTTAATTAGCAGAGTAATAGCATAGTTTTGCATGACAGATTGCAAGACACACAACATTATGAGGACATATCAAAGTTCTTGCTGGTGCATCTGTGACCAGGACAGCAAGTCTATCCAGCCACGGTATCCAGAGTAATGTCAGCAAACCACAAGAAGTAGAACCATATTGAACAGGAGGAACTGTAGATACAAGAGGAATCTATCTGAAAGGGATGTTGGGCTGATTACACCGATTTATCCAAAACACAAAAAGGCACAGCTGCCCAAATCACTGCAGAGTTAAATGTGCAGCTCGACTCTCCTGCTCCCAGCAGAACTGTTGATCTGGAGCTCCACAGGGTCAATACACATGGCCGTCTGCTGTAACCAAAGCTTTGCTCACTCCTGCCAATGCCAAATGCCAGTTTCAATGGTGCCAGCAGGGAGAATCTTGGGCTGTGGACAATGTGAAACATGTATTGTTCTTTGATGAGTCCTCCTTCACTGTCTTTTCCACATACAGGAGAGTTACTGTGTGGAGAAGCCCCAAAGAAGTGCCTCACCCTTACTGCTGATGCCCAGAGTGAAGCATGGGGGGATCAGTGATGGTCTGGGTTGAATATCTTGGCTTTCCCGAGGCCCAATACTTGTGCTAGATGGGCACGTCACTGCCAAGGACCACCCAACCATTCTGAAGGACCATGTGACCCAATGGGTCAAACATTGTATGCTGAAGTCGGCGCTGTGTATCAGGATGATAATGCACCAACACACACAGCAAGACTGGAGACAGAGTGGTCTAATGAACATGAAAGTGAAGTTGAACATCTCCCATGGCCTGCAAAGTCACAAGATCTAAACATTATTGAGAACTTTTGAGTGTTTTTTAGACTGACCTGGCTACTACTCTTCAAGAAGAACGGCTCAAAATCCTTCTGGGAATCACAGATTGTTAAATCTTCTCCTTAGTTTTCTTGGTCTTCTTCTTCTTCTTGCCTTTAGCTCTGGCTCTCCCGCTGGGCTCGGTGTGCAGAGCAGGCCTGGAGCGGGTCAGGTTGGCGATGGGGCTGAGTTTACTGCTGGCCACGCTGGGGTTGGAGGTGGAGTGGATGCCCTGCGCGGAGGCTGGCTTGCTAGAGACCGTTTTGGGCATACTAGCAAACAGATTTGGCTGCGAATATGACCTCATTCCCGGCGAGCTCGGCGGATTCCCGATCATGGGGAGGTGTACGTGTTCACTGCTCATGTTGTGGTCGGAGTAGCGGCTGCTGGTGGACATGATTATGTGGTGCCAAGAGCTGAGCGGCGTGGCGGAGAAGGGCTGCGGGCCGCTGGAGTCCTCTTTGGGTGAGATGATGATCATGGAGCTGCGCGGCGTCACCGCCTCCACCGCGCTCTCGAAGGTCTTCAGGATCCGCTCGCTCTTCTGCTTCTCCTTCTTCTGCCGAGACTCCACCTTACGCAGCTGCCGCCGGTGGTCCCGCATCATCTGCTTCCTAGTGTCTGCCAGGCCTCTGTGGGCAAACACAGCAATAAATTAGCAATGCTAGCAAACCGCTTTGTCAGAGTGATAGCGATGGGCCGTTCTTCAACGATTCAATCATTTTGAACACATCTTTAATTTGACTCGTGAACAATGAGTCGATCAACGATTGATTCGTACATGCGCACATTGTGCAGGTAGGGGAGAAGATTAGCTCCTTTTTCCAGTCTTCTCTCAGGTTTGAGTTCTTCGTTCATCATGTGAATGACATAAACCAATCATGAACTATTAGAGCCAGAAAAAGATTTGATCTATTAATTTCTTGAGTCCTCGGGTTTGAATCCTCTCTGTACATGCCAACCCAAGCTCATTCTAGTAACGTAGCCCCCGTGTGAAGGGCTTTCCCGCCTCAACCAGTTTGTCCGCTTAGCTCGCAGCGTTACATCGGCGGAGCGGAGGCCCGGAGGGAGGAGGAGCCGGCCACGACGACGACCGGGATCGAGTCTGGGGAAGAGCGGTTCCAGAAATCAGGTAAGATGAAAAACAGAATCCAAAAAAATAAAAGCGAACGAGTTTGCGACGGCGCGAGTTCCAAAAACGCGGGTCAAAATCGGACAAGGGCTTTTGCTTTTTTTTCTGGACGGCTTTTGCTTATTGTCGCTTGGGTTTAGAGGAGGAGGAGGGTGGCTGGGTCGGCTGATTGGCCGCCCAGTCGATCGTTTAGTCGTTCAGCCACTCAGTCGGACGGACGGCCGATCTACAGCAGCCTCCGGTGGCTTTTCACGCATCCGAGACTTGAAAAAGCGCGCACAGCGGCCTCTCGCAGATTCGCGAAAATAAAAACTGTTGGAATACGTACCTCCGGGGACATATTTTGCGGTCTCCAGAAACGTCCGCTGGGCTACGTTTCCACAATGAGCCCGGGTTGGTACATGCTGAACATGATGAATGAACAACTTAACACCTGATGTAATGTGTGCATTAATAAAGCACATTTATCGTGTATGGCCATGCACCCTAAGTGCTTCACAATCTAGGGGGGTTGGAGGGGGGATTTTCACACCACCACCAGAGTGCAGCATCCACTTGGACAATGCGACGACAGCCATAGGACAACAGGGCCAGTGCGCTCACCACACACCAGCTATTGGTGGAGTGCAGAGACAGTGATAGAGCCAATTCGGTGGATGGAGAGGATTGCGAGGCTATGATAGGGAATTTGGAGGGAATTTGGTTACACCCCTGCTTTTTACGAGATGCGCCATGCAAGAGTCAGGACCTCAGGTCATCCGAACTGACTACTCACTGACAGTATATTGTCCCCTTCACTTTACTGGGGCATTAGGACTCCGCAGGTTGAGCGCCCCCTTCTGGCCTCACTAACACCACTTACAGCTGCAACCTAGTTTTGCTAGGTCTCCCATGCAGGTACTGACCCGGCTCAGCCCTGCTCAGCTTCACTGAGTAACTGTTCTTGGGCTGCAGGGTGATATGGCTGTGGCAATGACTCAAAACGTGAAATAATCATGGGATTGTCCGTGTTACGTGAACGAGCAAATCAAATTTCAAGACTTGTCAGCAGAAGTAAGCTGAGGATTATTTCTCTTTCGTACAGCATTGTAGTTATGACTTGAAGTTTGCTCTGAGAACATTGCAGGTGATCATGTGTGATTGTATTGTTGACTGTCCTGATGAAGAGCTCAGTGTTCATTATAGAGGCGTGTGAGCGAGCGCACCTGTAGTCCACCACACCCGTCCGGTCTCTGTCCAGGCGCTGAATCAGCTCCTCGATCTGGAATCTCTCCAGCGGGATGCTGGATTGCTGGACACCACAGAGAGAGAAATGCAGGAAACACCTTACAATAACTGTGCATAAGTAATGATGTATTAAACTAAATGCTATTTTAATATGAACTAATGCGTGCGGTAATAAAGAACTAACTTTAACTTTGAAATGAGCTCTAGTGTCAATAATGCCTGCCTTGCTAGTACATGTTTGTTAATAATTGTATCAAGTAACACCATTTGGAGCTAAATGCAACTCGCTCAATGAGAAAGAAGATTAATTAAAGTGCAACATGACCAACATGAACCTGTTAATGCATCTCTATGTCATGACTTTACTTTAGGGGCGCATTATTAATATTATTATTTACTCATTTTTAACAACTCCTTAACTCCTGTGTTTAAACATAACAGCATGTCCGTCAAGTCCGTGTTCACATTAAAAAACATTATAAAAGTTTAAACTCGGGAGTTCACAAGTTGTACATAATCAGAAAGTCAGAAAAAAATACACAACAGACACAGTGAGCAGGTGCAAGCAGCCCCTTTGGGATGCAGGTTAATACCTGAACTGCTTTTCTGAAGTCGACCACAGGAACACGCATCGTCCCGTCCTTGTCGATGTTCCTGAAGAAGTCCCACAGACGGAGCTTTCTCTGATCGAGGTAATCCTACAAGAAGACCAACATCATTTTTAGCACGTTTGTTTAATGACAGCCATGTTCCATCCACCTATTTTTATCTGCATTTTGTATTAATCGCATAAAAATGCTTAGTGGTGTCCCCGATACTACTGTCACCTCTCGCGCCCTCAGTTATATCCGCGTCTAGGGCAGCAGAATAGAAAGAGTGCCGTCCCCGATACTACTGTCACCTCTCGCGCCCTCAGTTATATCCGCGTCTAGGGCAGCAGAATAGAGAGAGCGGCGTCCCAGATACTACTGTCACCTCTCGCGCCCTCAGTTATATCCGCGTCTAGGGCAGCAGAATAGAGAGAGCAGCGTCCCCGATACTACTTTCACCTCTCGCGCCCTTAGTTATATCCGTGTCTAGGGCAGCAGAATAGAGAGAGCGGCGTCCCCGATACTACTGTCACCTCTCGCGCCCTCAGTTATATCCGCGTCTAGGGCAGCAGAATAGAGAGAGCGGCGTCCCCAATACTACTGTCACCTCTCGCACCCTCAGTTATATCCGCGTCTAGGGCAGCAGAATAGAGAGAGCGGCGTCCCCGATACTACTGTCACCTCTCTATTCTCTCTATTCTGCTGCCCTAGACGCAGTTATATCCGCGTCTAGAGCAGCAGAATAGAGAGAGCGGCGTCCTCGATACTACTGTCACCTCTCGCGCCCTCAGTTATCTCCGCGTATAGGGCAGCAGAATAGAGAGAGCGGCGTCCCCGATACTACTGTCACCTCTCGCGCCCTCAGTTATCTCCGCGTATAGGGCAGCAGAATAGAGAGAGCGGCGTCCCCGATACTACTGTCACCTCTCGCGCCCTCAGTTATATCCGCGTCTAGGGCAGCAGAATAGAGAGAGCGGTGTCCCCGATACTACTGTCACCTCTCGCGCCCTCAGTTATCTCCGCGTCTAGGACGGCAGAATAGAGAGAGCGCCGTCCCCAATACTACTGTCACCTCTCGCGCCCTCAGTTATATCCGCGTCTAGCACGGCAGAATAGAGAGAGCGGCGTCCCCGATACTACTGTCACCTCTCGCGCCCTCAGTTATATCCGCATCTAGGACGGCAGAATAGGGAGGGCAGCGTCCGCGGCAATACCCTCACCACCCGCGCCCTCAGTTATATCTACGTCTAGCTCCCCAAACCCCTCACCTGGATGAAAACACAGCTTAATTTGCTAGTTATAGTTCTAGCAATAAATCTAGTTCGCATATTTGGATGGAAACACAGCTAGTGTTAGTAGCTGTGAGTGCAGTCTGTGCACCTGGATGATCTTCATGGGGTCGATGCGTTTTCGAGGCTTCTTAGCGATGAAACCTCCGACGCCTCCATACTGCACCTCCAGACTGGGACGCTCCTGACAGGTCAGATCCAGGAGCTGCACGAAGTTCTCGTTCACCAGCACGTTCTGCAGCAGAACACAAACACACACTGGCAGATTTCAGCTCACAGTACACTGCTTATTCAAGCCTCATCAAGCGAAAGCAGAGTGTTAATCACATCACTCACACAAATGTTGATGTCCTCGATGGCGGATTTTGGTGTGTTTTTGATCGTGTTGATTAAAGTGAGAGCTCCTTCCACCGTCAGTGAGTTATACGCCAGCTGGAAGAGAACAAGTATCAGTGTATCGCACATATTCAACTCAAGTTGGAGTTGCTCAATGTATCATGTAGAGTCGCTGGTGTCTAAAATGAACACCGATGGTACAGAAGGTTTAAAGATGACCAGTGATCTCTATAGTAGAATATCAATTAGTGATATCTAAACCCTGAACATATCCTGAACTTACCCAGAACATGGGGAAATGTCTTTATTGTCATTTTGCTTACAGTTGATTGGTGTAATCTTAATTAGGGATCTCTATACCAGAACATAACCTCAAGATGACTTGAACATAGCATGAACATAACCTGAACATAACCAGAACATGGACGAGAGTCTTTATTGTGATTTTGATAGTTTCATGGTTGATTGAGGTAATCTCAGTTAGGGATCTCTAAACCAAAACATTTGTTCGGCTTATGCTCTGTAACTGATGGTAATCATGAAATGGTAATGAGAGCGGGGGGCTGGTCCATGAAGCCGAATTAGCTGGTTATCCAGTTAAACATGAGTTTAGTTAGCAATAATCCTGTCTCTTTTTGTACCATGATGCCAACTTGGGTTTAATCCTTCTTTGTCACTATCTTATGGTGCGCAGCTAACCCGCTCTGAGGCATGTTATGTTCAGGTTATGTTCTGGCTATGTTCTAGTGATGTTCAGGTTGTGTTCTGGTTTAGTAATCACTAACTGAGATTTCATCCATCAACTGTGAGCAAATGTTCCCCTATGTTTTAGTTTTGTTCAGGCTATGTTCTGGTTATGTTCAAGTTATTTTCAGTTTATGTTCTGGTTTAAAGATCACAAGCTGGGATTTCATCAATCATCCATAAGCAAATGTTCCCCCATGTTCTGGTTTTGCTCAGGCTATGTTCTGGGTATGTTTAGGTTATATTCAGGTTATGTTCTGGTTTAGAGATTACTAACTGAGATTTTATCAATCCACTGTGAGCAAATGTTCCCCTATGTTATGGTTTTGTTCAGGCTATGTTCTGGTTATGTTCAAGTTATGTTCGGGTTATAATTAGGTTATTTTCTGGTTATGTTCTAGTTGAAAGATCAATAAAAAAGATTCCACCAATCAACTGTGAGCAAACGTACCCCCATGTTCTGGCTATGTTCAGGTTATGTTCTGTTTATGTTCAGGTTATATTCAGGTTATGTTCAGCTTATTTTCTGGTTTAAAGATCAATAACTGAAATTCCACCAATCAACTTTGAGAACAGTTAATAAAGACATTGGTCCATGTTCTGGTTATGTTCAGGTTGTCTTAGTTGTGTTCAGATTATGTTCTGGTTTAGAGATATCTAACTGAGATTCCATCAACCAACTTTGAGCAAAGTGAAAATAAAGAAACTTGTCTATGTTCAGGTTATATTTAGGTTATGTTCTGGTTATGTTTGAGTTATGTTCTGGTTTAGAGATATTTAACCGAGTTTCCATCAATCAACTTTGAGAAAAGTGACAATAAAGACATTCATCCATGTTCTGTTTATGTTCAGGTTATGTTCAGGTTTAGAGATAACTAACCAAGATTCTATCAATCAACTGTGAGCAAAGTGACAATAAAGACACTCATCCATGTTCTGCTTATGTTCAGGTTATGTTCAGGTTATGTTCAGGTTATATTCTGGTTTAGAGATAACTAACCAAGATTCTATCAATCAACTGTGAGCAAAGTTACAATAAAGACACTCGTCCATGTTCTGGTTATGTTTAGGTTATGTTCTAGTTATGTTCTGGTTTAGAGGTAACTAACCGAGATTCTATCAATCAACTGTGAGCAAAGTGACAATAAAGACACTCATCCATGTACTGGTTAAGTTCGGGTTATGTTTTGGTTATGTTCAGGTTTAGAGATGACTAACAGAGATTCCATCAATCAACTTTGAGCAAAGTGACAATAAAGACACTCATCCATGTACTGGTTATGTTTTGGTTATGATCAGGTTATGTTCTGGTTTAGAGATAACCAACCAAGATTCAAACAATAAACTTTGAGCAAAGTGACAACAAGGACACTCGTTCCTTGTTCTGGTTTTGTAAACTCAACACAAATCTTGTAATCCTGAGTTTGTTTAGCCACATTTATGGAACAGGCCCCATGTTTTCTCAGTGTGTTAGTCAGTGGTCAGAGGCTGACCTGCAGCACTCGCAGTGTGTCGTTGGCCTCCAGACCTTTGCTCAGCATGCCGGCTCCTTCATCAGTGATGCGGTTGTTATTGAGGTCCAGGTGCTGCAGTGTGTTGTTGAACTTTAACGCTTCACCCAGAGCCAGAGCACCTTCATTTCCAAAGCCATTCCACGACAGATCCAGGTGTTTCAGAGTCGTGTTCACCTGCAAACACAGCAAAAAACTATCAATGCTAGTAAATTGTACAAACTATAATAATGCTACAAATATTTGACAAAATATACGGTATTATTATTATTTATTGTGTCTTCACCTTCAGTCCCGCACAGAAAGCGACGGCTCCTTTCATGCGCAGGTGATTCCAGCTCAGATCAAGAACTTCTAAACCATCGTTATTTGCTGCATGAACAAACATTTCATTACTGTGATTTTGGTCTGTGTGTTGCTAAGTTTGATTCTCACAGTTTATTTTATTCACCGATCATCTGGCCCAGATGTTCTCCACCTCTGCCGCTGAACTCGTTGTGGCTTAAATCCAGCTCCTTCACCCTGTAGTTGCTCTGAAGAAACAAAATCAGGTCCTTCATCTCTTGAAAATCAGAGAGATGTTTGTTTATTCTCGGCATTTGTGGACACAAGGGAACATGGAGTAGACTTTAAAGGGTTAGTTCACTCAACAATGAAAATCTCCTGTTGATTTACTCACCCACAGGTCACCCAAGAGTTGACTCTTTTTCCTTCAGCAGAACATTAAAGCAGATTTTGAGCTGAATCTGTGGTGTTTGTTGCTGCATATAATGGCAGTGAATGGTGACAGGCTTATTAGATTGAAAACAAACACACAGAAACGAGTCCCAATCAATATTCACGACTCCTGATGACATGCTGAGGTCTTGTGAAGTTTAACGATCGTTCCAAGTAAGAAACCTAACATTATTTAAAGTATCATAGCTTTAATCCACAGTGTGGCCAAACAGTTTTCAGTGCATGTGCGACTGCAGTCTGGTGGATGACATGTGGTTGAGTTTCATTTTTGGCTGAACTAACCCTTTGACTTACAGAGAGAGCATCTGCAAACCATTTGGCATCATCTTCAGTGAACTTATTCCCTGTGAACACAAGCGTTGTGTTTGTGTGTCAGTCTGAATCAGCTTTAGCTCCTCATCATGTGGGATGATGGTCATATGCGTGAAGTACCTGACAGTTTGAGGGATTTAATGGAGATGTTTTCCAGCAGCATTTTAGCCACGCTCTCCGCTCCGGCAGACTGAAGCTGATTGTCGGAGAGATCCTGAAAACACACGCACAAACACACACACACAGCACATGAAATAATGTTGTGGTGATTCTACGGTTGCTATGGAAACACAAATACTATAGTAATTGATCTGTTGTGGTGATTCTACAGTTGCTATGGTAACACAACAACTATAGTAACTGATCTGTTGTGGTGATTCTACAGTTGCTATGGTAACACAACAACTATAGTAACTGATCTGTTGTAGTGATTCTACAGTTGCTATGGTAACACAACAACTATAGTAACTGATCTGTTGTGGTGATTCTACAGTTGCTATGGTAACACAACAACTATAGTAACTGATCTGTTGTGGTGATTCTACAGTTGCTATGGTAACACAACAACTATAGTAACTGATCTGTTGTGGTGATTCTACATTTGCTACGGTAACAAAACAACTATAGTAATTGATCAGTTCTTGTGATTCTACAGTTGCTATGGTAACACAACAACTATAGTAACTGATATATTGTGTTGATTCTACAGTTGCTATGGTAACACAACAACTAGATCTGTTGTGGTGATTCTACAGTTGCTATGGTAACAACAACTATAGTAACTCATATGTTGTTGTGATTCTACAGTTGCTATGGTAACACAACAACTACAGTAATGTAAACAAATGACCTATTATTGTATGTTTCTACAATTACAGTACATTACAGTTTATTAAATTACACTGCACCACTGTTTACTGTAGTAAAAGCTGAAGTATACTACTATAGTTATTCAAGTTTAACAGTTTCCTAGTTAATACTACACTATGCTGCAGTATTCATTAACAGAGTTGTAAATATTATAATATATACAGTAAAATACACTTTAGTATGGTTCAAAATCACCACAGTATTTACTTTCGGTAGACTACTACCCTTCTTTTCAGAAGGACGTCACAGGTCTACGCTCTGCCTCCCTCTAGTGGACAGACAAAGTAGATTCCTTATTAAATTTTGCACATCTATACTGGTAATTAATCCACTTTTTTGCTGATGTTTATGTGACTTGCTGTTTTGTGGCTTTATGAAAGAATCCTTTAAAGAGGAGTAACATACATTTCGGGTTGAATAAAATTCTTATGCTTTTAAACTTAATCTGGCCAATACTTCTGCAAATCTCAAGTTTATATTTCTGAATACGTTGATAATGTACTTATATCAAATGCAATTTTCGTTATTTATACACAAAAATTAGTGGCTTAAATCTCCTCTATACTTTACGCATTTTATTTCTGAATTTAACTCTTTTTTATTCTTCTTTTAAACTTAATAAATATAGTTTACTGAAGTTTAGTTTCTCCAGTTCACCTATACTGCATATATTTGATTGTGGAGGATGCCAGAGTAATACTAAAGTTATTTCCTCCATACTATAGTCAATTTCTTGGAATAATCTGTTGAGGTGATTCTATAGCTACTATGCTAACTACAGTAATTGTGCCATTGTGGTAATTCTACGGTTGCTATAGTAACACAGCAACTATATTAACTCATCTATGGTGATGATTCTACAGTTGCTATGGTAACACAACAACTATAGTAATTGATCTGTTGTGGTGATTCTACAGTTGCTATGGAAACACAACAACTATAGTAAGTGATATGTTGTGGTGGTTCTACAGTTGCTATAGAAACACGACAACTACTATAATATAAACAAATGACCCAGTACAAAAGTATAGGCTATATCATAACACAATACACCACAGTATATTATAGTAAAAGCTAGAGTATAGTACAGTATTTAATACAGTTTGTTACGAACACCAACATAATCATGGCGAGAACAGCGCACAGAAATGCCTCCTGGAACCAGCGACCTTCTTGCTGTGAGGCGACAGTGGTAACCCTAATTTTAGCAATAGAAATGAAGCTCACCAGGTTGTGGATGGTGAAGTTGGCCCTCAGCATCTCCATCAGGTGTGTTGCTCCTTCAGCTCGCAGACAGTTGTCAGCCAGCTCCAGAGTGGTGGTGTGCATGTCTGTCTGCGCACCGACACACACACTGATGAGTGATGATCATACAGTACAGCTTTATTACCATTAAAGCAGCTGCTTTTTACATGCATCTGTGGTAAAATGTCAAATGTGCTAAAACATTCAAATGTAAAATTGTGTTTCTTTGTATTTTTGTTGAAACTGTGATTTTATTAACAATAATATTAAGAAATTACATTTTTATTTACTACAGGTGTCTTCAATCAACAAAGAATTTAATATTTTTATACATTTCCAGAATATTTTGTATGAAGAGAACAAAATAATGATCACATTTCTTCATTTCTTGATCATCAAGTCATCATGTTATAATGATTTCTAAAGGATCAATAGACTCTGAAGACTGGAGTAATGCTGAGAATACAATTTAGTCCGGTATATAATAGTATGGTCTAGTATAGTATAGCATAGCATAGCATAGCATATTATAGTCTAGTCTTGTATAGTATAGTATAGTATAGTATAGTATAGCAAAGTATACTGTAGTATAGTGTAAAATAGTACAGTATAGCAAAGTATAGTATGGTATAGTGCAGTATAGTGTAAAATAGTATAGTGTAACATAGTATAGTATAGTGTTGTGTAGTGTAGTATAGTATAGTATAGTATAGTATTGTGTATAGTATGGTGTTGTATAGTGTTGTCTAGTATACTATGGTATAGTTTTCTATAGTATAGTCTGGTATAATATAATAAAATATAGTATAGTTTACTTCAGTCTAGTACCTTTTAGTCTAGTGTAGTGTAGTCTAGTAAAGTATGGTATAATTTAGGATAGTGTAGTATAGTATAATATAGTGTAGTGTACTATAGTATAGTATAGTATAGTATAGGATAGGATAGGATAGGATAGGATAGTACAGTATAGTATAGTAAGGTCTGGTGTAGTATAGTGTATTCTAGTATAGTTAAGTCTGGTGTAGTTTTCTATAGTATAGGCTGGTATAATATAATATAGTATAGTTTACTTTAGTCTAGTACCTTTTAGTTTAGTGTATTGTTGTCTAGTCTAGTAAAGTAAAGTATATTTTAGTGTAGTATAGTACAGTACAGTACAGTATAGTCCGGTATAGTTTTCTATAGTATAGTCTGGTATAATATAATATAGTATAGTTTACTTCAATCTGATATTGTTTAGTCTATTATAATTTAGTATAGTGTAATTTAGTATAGTATAGTATAGTATAGTATAGTATAGTATAGTATAGTATAGTATAGTATAGTATAGTATAGTATAGTATAGCCTGTAGATGGTGCTGCATGAGTCTCACCACTAGAGCGATGGCCAGGGCTTTTCCTCCCAGTGGACCGAGGCCGTGGTGGTTGAGGTTAATGGTGGCACAGCCCAGGTTCCTGATGAAGTATCTGACAGGAATGACTCCCACCAGTTTACAGGCCTGCAGGTACAATTCTTCAGTCGACAAATCCTTCCTGATCAGCTTCACCCCTGATACTGGAGAAAACACAAGCGCATCTTTCATCTGATTTACATAATGTAATAAAGTAATGCATATAGAGGACAAACTCAGGAAAAACGCTCCCCATCTGTAATAGATCTATAAATGACCCCTGCCAGAGCAGAATTCTGACATCCGAGAGTTACTGCCCCTCAGGCTTGAACTGGAAGAACTGAGGCACTGGCTAGTCAGGCTCGTTCCCCTTTCCTTGTGCTCATAACTTTATGAGTATCTCAGAGACACAAAGTAGCTGGATCCCAGGCAGATCAGGTGAACCCACTTCTTTAATTTCTTAAAGAAGTCCTAAAATTCCTCCATTGCCTGTTGTCCAGGGACAAACAATGTTAAGGCCAATGCTCTTTCCCAAACACACATCCAAAGACCCCTCTGAGAGACCTGAGACTATACTCCCTCTGAGTCTCACTGTAAACCCAATTCAGTGGTCCCTGAATGAGGACATCTTACTGGTGGAGAAGAGGTCAAGTGATGAAGCCAATTATACAGACGTCATGATGGACAGAAGCCAGTAGGCACGTTGGCCAGGTTTCCGGGCGGGGACACACCCCTACTCTTTTCGGAGGGCATCCTGGTATGTGTCCAGTGTATGCACTGACCTGTCGTTGTTTTCCTGAAAGCAGGTCCTGGAAAGCGGTCCATCTGATCTCCCAAAGACTCTGTGTCGTCTTCATCCTCCAGATGGATGTCATGGTGATGTTCATTCTCAGTCAGACTGAGGGAATCTAAAGACAGACTGTGAACACTGCTGTCTATAGTCTTCATCTTCTGCAGGCTGTGACACTGCGCTGCGTCATATGTAGATCTGCTGTGTGTTTGTG